ACATGGAAGGCTCTTCACATCGTCTGCTCCTCAGGCTCATCAGCAGGGAGCTGGACAAGGCATGGTGCAGTTGGGACATGAACCAGCAGGATGACGGTATCCTCAGTTACGGCTTAACTTGTGTGCCTCAGCACCTGCTGGGTTAGCAATTCTGAAACTGTATGTGTACTAAAAGTGTACAAATATGAAAAATAGGTTTTTCAATAATAAGAACCAGGTTTCTCGCAAATAGGGAAGGGGGTGTTAAATAAACTTTTAGAATGTATTGGAATCTGAGATAATCAATATGTTAGGGAACTTTAAAAAGTTCATGGAGTAGTAGTTAAGTACTGGGTTAGGGAGCTCACGTTCTCTATAGAAGTGCCAGGTTAAGCTCCTGGTTTTGCTGTCACTTTGAGCTTTCTTGTTAATGCATGCCCTGGGAGGCAACAAGGGATGCCCCATGTAGTTGGTTCCTGTGGGAAACCTGCATTGGATTTCTGGCTCTGTACTTTGGCCTGGATCAGACATGGGATCTCAGTGCTTCCAAGGTGAGTCTTTAGCCATTGAGCCATCACGCCAGGTCCTCCATTACATTTCTGTTATAAAAATGCTTACAGAAAGTGGAATTAAAAGGTAATGTATATTTTTCAAACTTTCAATAGTATCTTTGAATTTGTGAGTTAATATGCATTCATGTATTTCCTAGTTCTGTCCATTGAAAGGGACCAGAAGTGATAACATCTCAATGTTAATGAAGAAAAGTGGGCCTGGCACCATGGCTCAGGGCCTAAATCCGTGCCTTGCACCATAAGGGTGCTGGTTCATGTAATGGATGCTCTACTGCCATCCAGCTCCCTGTTTGGGGGAAAGCAGTGGATGACGACCCAAAACCTTGAGATCCTGCACCCGCATGGGAGACCTGGAAGAACCTCCTGGCTCCTCGGGGGAGTGAACCAGTGGATAGAAGATCTTTCTCTCTGTCTCTCCTCTCTGTAAATCTACCTTGTCTATAAAAATTTTTTTAAAAAATCCTTAAAAAATTAAAAAAAACTTGCCATCCAGACTTTTAAATATCTAATTTCAATTAACTTATTTCATCTTACTTGAAAAGGTATGGAGACAACAGTCTTCCATCTTCTGTTTCACTCCCAAAAGCCTGTAACAGCCAGGACTGGACCAGGATGAAGTCAAGGAGTCCTAAACTCAGTCTGGGTCTTTCATGTGGATGGCAGGAGCACAAGTACTCACTGCCCTCAGACTGCATATTAGAAGGCAGATGTAATTGCAAGTGCAGTCAGCATTAGACAGGATACTAGTAAAAACTTTTGACCAGTGTAGACATTTGTGTAACAAAATTATGATACAATTATTACCAGCTTACAAATTTCCCTTGTAACTCTTTATATAACTTATTTGAAAGGCAGAGCTTCAGAGAGAGATATAGATCTTCCATTTACTGGCTCCCCAAATGGCCCCAACATCCAGGGCAGGCTGAACTCAAGAGACAGGAACTCCATCTGGGTTTCTCACATGGGTAGTAAGGTTCAAGTATGTGAGCCGTTATATACTGCCTTCCCAGACACATTGGAAAGTGGGATTGGGATGCCAGCATTGCAAGTAGCAGCTTAACGTGCTATATTACAACACTGGTCTATGCTCTGCCAGTTATGTTATTTCTATCCTTATTCCCCTAAACTAAACATGCTGATTTTTTTAAACTGTAAGATAGCTTTGATTTTTTAATAACTGCATATAACACGGAATTAATCTTGTGTTACTAAAGTATTCCCCTGAGAGTTCTCCATTGTTTTGTAGATATTAATAATTACCTCATTTTTAGAAGTGGTTAGTAATACCACAATATATTTATCTGTTCCCCCCCCTCAGATTTGGCCTAGTATAAATAAAACTATTGGGACTGTCACAGCCATACAGTAGGTTAAGCCTGCTGGCATGCCATGTGAGCACAGATTTGAATCCTGGCTGCGCCACTTCTAATCCAGCTCCCTGCTAATGTGCCTGAGAGCAAAAGAATATGGCTAAGTCCTTGGGCCCCTGCATCCTTGTGGGAGACTCAGAAGAAGCTCCACCTTGGACCAGACTTGCCCCAGCCATTGTGGCGATTTGGAGAGTGAGCCCATGGATGGAAGATCTCTCGCTCTCTCTCCTCTTTCTGTAAATCTGCTTTACAAAGAAAAAAAAAAATAAGTGAATGCATCCTTTTAAAAACCTATTAGGCCTATTTTACTGTTTTCAAAATTTATTATAAAGGTGAGGGGATTACAGACCCATACAGGGCACAGATTGGGATGGAGAGAGCCAGGGGAGGGTGAAGTGAATGAAATGTTTCTGTCTTCCCTCCTGTGCCCACAGAGGGTTGGTATGGGGGGTATGCAACTCCTTGCTGTTAGACTACATGGATGCCAGGGGATGCAGGTGGCCAGGAGATGCAGGATGCGATGCTGCCTCCAGGACTCTGGTGGGCATAGAATGTTCTGGGGGTGAGACTGACAGAGGGGCAAGAATGACTTCCAACTTGTGGCCCTAAGCCAGTTGCCTACTTGTCCTGATTCTGACCCTCATCGAGTGATTTCTTATCACTGCTTGGAGACTTTCCATTCAGTGGCCATGGCTGTGTCTGCCACATCATCTTGACTGCTCTGAGAAGCTGTTGGATTCATTGTACAAGAGATGGCAAATTGCACCTGTCCTCATACACACTCTTTGTGGTTCTCCTGTTGGTGTCTACGTCTACAGAATGGCCAGAGACTTGGGTGCTTGCTGTAGCACTTGGCCTTAAGTGTTTTGTCACTTGCTTTCCTTTCCAATTTGAAGAGGTACTTGAGGGTTTCTGTTGGTTTAGAGGAGCGGCCTGTCTTTGTCTTTCCTGTACATCTGTGTATGTTCTTCATCCTTGGCTGGAAGTCGGCAACAGAGGTGACCCAATCTTGCAATATGTGCTCTGAGTTCAGACCCTGCATCAATGGGATGTTCTGTGGGAGAGGGGATCCAGTGGGTCTAAGAAACTCATGATATTTAGAAAGCCCACTCCTGGCCAGGCCATCCTCCACAGCTTCCCAACCCCAGCTCTAGTATGTATTGGTGGGTGCATTGGCCTGGTCAGGAATGCCTTCCAGAATCCCTACCAGGTCAGCCCCTGGCTCTCTTGTGCACTGGTGGGTGTGGTGGTCTGACATGGCCTGCCCCAGCTTAGGAATATTATTGTACAGGTCTTTTTTAAAAAAAGATTTATTTATTTTTATTGGAAAGGCGAATGTACAGAGAAGAGGAGAGACAGAGAGAAAGATCTTCCTTCCAATGGTTTACTCCCCAGGCGGCTCCAACGGCTAGAGCTGAGCCAGTCTGAAGCCAGGAGCCAGGAGCTCTTCCTGGTCTCCCATGTGGGTACAAGGTCCCAAGGCTTTGGGCTGTCCTCAACTGCTTTCCCAGGCCACAGGCAGGGAGCTGGATGGGAAGTGGGGCTGCCGGGATTAGAACCAGCGCCCATATGGGATCCTGGCACCTACAAGGTGAGGACTTTAATGGCTATGCTATCATGCCGGGCCCTAATATACAGGTCTTTAAAAAAAAAATTTATTTTTATTGTAAATAGAGATTTTACAGAGAGAGAGAGAAGGATAAAAACATTACCCTTCTGCTGGTTCACTCCCCAGGTAGCTGCAATGGCTGGAGTTGAGCTGATCCAAAGCCAGGAGCCAGGAATCACTTCCAGGTCTCTCAAGTGGGTGCAGGGTCCAAGATTTTGGGTCATCCTCTGCTGCTTTCCCAGGCCACAAGCAGGGAGCTGGATAGGAAGTGAAGCAGCTGGAACAACATGTTCTGGACATGAACCGGTGCCCATCTGGGATTCTAGCAGTTGTAAGGTGAGCCACTAGGCCATTGTGCCAGGCCTGCCTCTTAGTATTCTTTCCTTGTGTAATTCCCTCCCTTTCTAGATGGGCTGGACTTAGCAACATACTCCTGATGGAATACAGTAGAAGTGAGGAGATCTGGTTATAAAAGACTGTGGCTTCTGGGTGAGGGTCTGCACTTCGGATCACTCACCTTTGAGTATCTCAGATCAATAATTGTGAGCGCTGGAGTGACTGGGCCAGAGTTGAAAGGAGATGCAATAACTCCATCCCACGTGGATGGCAGGAACCCAAGTGCCTGAGGAGTCATTTGCTGCCCATCACGGTGCACAGGAAGCAGCAGGAAGCCGGATCTGAAGCAGAGGCAGGAGTTTATTAATGAGAAACTTATTTACCCATATCATCAACAAACCCACTCTGCTGTATTCAAATGTGTCAGGCTGCCCCCACTGCTACAGTTTTGCAGCAGAATTGGCTATTTTGAGTTTATATCCCTCGGTGGCGAGTCCGCGGCTTGGCATAGAGGAGATCATCAAACATTTATTACATTCTGCGACTAGCCCTGGTAACATTTATTGAAGCTTATTAACAGCAAACAAGCACCTATGTTCAAACCCTTTACCCGCGCCCTCCCCCTTTGACTGGCGTTCTCAGCAGGCCAGGGAAAGGAGGTGCACAGCACGAAGGCCCATCCCCACCAGTGTGTCAAGCTGCCTTCCCCTTACTGTCCAGTCCCGCCCACGCCACGCCCCCACACAGCCCGCCAGACCGAGAGAAGGCGTGGTCATCGCCTCGCCGGGCGGTCCAGGCCGTCTCCTCTCCAGAGGATCCGGGGAGCCCCAGGGTGGGCGGGCAGTGGGGTGCCAGCTGCCGCGGGGAGCGCGCGTCGTGGCCGTGAGGAGCTCCAGGCCCGCAGCCCGCCGCCCGCCGCCGGCCACCGCCGCGCCCCGCCCCGCCCCTCGGCACGCAGGCCTTGCGCGAGTGCGCGCACGCGTGCGCGATCCCGCCGGAGCCCGAGTCCGGCCGGCGGTGACGGGGAAGGAGACGGGGCGGGCAGAGGCCGGGCCGCTGAGGGACGAGGGGAGGAGCCCGAGCCGCCGCCGCCGCCGCCGCCGCCGCCGCCGCCGCCGCCAGCGCCGCTACCGCCACCGCCGCCACCTCCGCTGCCGTCCAGGGGGAGAGGAGCATGTCTGCAACTCGAGCCAAGAAAGTGAAGATGGCCACCAAATCATGCCCCGAGTGCGACCAACAGGTGGGCACCGAGGCCGGGCGCGCGAGTCGGCGGAGCGAGTCTCGCGGGCGGGCAGGGCGGCCGTTGCTTGGCGGCCGTTGGCTGAGGAGAAGCGGTCTCGGCGGGGTCCCGGCGGCCGGGCGGGTGGGCAGGCCCTTGGGGAGGGAGTCCGAGAGAGCAAGCCGGGGCGGGGGGCTGAGCCGAGGGTTGCGGGAAGCCCTCGGGGCCCCGCAGCCCGCCCGGTGCCCACCGGCGGCCGGGAGTGACGGGTGAGTCCCTGGGTTTTGTGGCTGGGACCGCCGGAGGGGGCGTGGGTTTGTGGTGAGTGCGTGCCGGGACCCTCTGGGAGTCACCTATCCGCCTGCGGGTGACAGCGGTGGGAACCGGGGGGCATTGGGGGACGGCGGCCCAAGAAGCCCCTTGCACCCAGCCAAAGTGCCCAGCGTGCCCGGCTCGGTGTGTCCAGGCCCCTGGCTCCGCAGCCCCCTCCTGCCACCCGAGGTTGCTTTGTTCCCATTTCAACTGTGCACTGCGGCTCCCCAAAACTCCCCACCGCGACTGGGCGGACGCTTGAACGTGACAAAAAAAGGGGGGGCCCCAATGGAATGATTTTTAAGTTTCGATCAATATGAGATCCCCTCCCCCAGATGAATTATATTTTCGGTGTTGTGTAACCGTGCAGGCTTCTCTTAACATTCCTTTTGGTGGAACATTGCTGAATAATATCCCAGTTCAATCCCTTCGTTTTGGGGCGCTCCTTACTCCCCCACTCCTCGCGGTATCCACTGTTACAAATTTGATATGTCAGCCTTTTAGATGTTTAAAACATATTATACGATAATGTATATATGAATATACGTGGGATCCTGCTTTTTTAGTGATTTCTTTTTACACTGAATTTGTGGTATAGTTGTAATTTGAAAAACCTTATTTGAGTATTTCCAACGTTTAAGCATGTCTCATTCTTTAGAATAATAGACATTCTTCTAAGCCTTATGGTTTGATGAGTTAAAAGTGTCTCAATTAAAACCATTCGTAAGGCCTGCATCTCATGCCAACATGCAGATCTGGGAGTGTTTTTCCTTTTCCACTGAGTGAATTTTTTCAAAATGACTACCTCTGTGTCTTGCTCTTTTTCTTTCTTTTTCCTTCCCTCCCTCCCTCCATTCCTCCCTCTTTCTCTCTTTCTCTTTTCCTCTCCCTCCTCCCTCTCCCCCTCATCTAATCTCTTTTTCTTGGAAATCTAGAGTAATTTGAAATGGCTGGAGACTCATTAATAGGCTGATTTTAAGGTGCTCCTTAAGGAGCAGCCTTGCAGATCAAATCTTGTGACAAGGCATGTTAACATGTTTTATTCAATATCAATTATGTGCAGTAGTAACATGATCAGAGAAAGGTTTATCCGAACAGTTTACTGAACTCTGATAGTATTCAGTACAAAAACAACCATGTTTCCCAAAATAATTGCTTTCGTCTTCCATGAAACCACATTGGTCAAACTCTGTTGGACATTTTTGCATCAAAAACGCTACTTTCATTTCCATTTTCTATGAACTTTTTGAAACATCCTCTTCTACATCTCTTTGCAGAAAAAGGTTATTTCAGTGTTTAAACATATCTGTTTATTCTGTATTGCACAGAAGCGTTAGGTTTACATGGAATGCATTATGCATTCCAGTTTCTGCAGAGCGCATGTCAAATCCTGTCCTTGTCTTCCTGGACATGAAGTAACCTTTAGGGGGAAATATCCTGGTTAATGATGATAAACTGTAGGAGTCCCTAAAACTGTTCAACAAAACACGCTTGGTTATTTGGAGAAAGCAAGTTGGTTTTTGTTATACACAGACATTTACATACATTTTTGGATTCTTTTGTATGAAATTAACTATATCTTGATGTGCTCTGATACCATACCAAAAAAACCAATAGATTGGGTGGCATAAACAGCAAACGTTTTCTTCCTTTCAGGAGCCTGAAGATGAGGGTGCCAGCCTGCTTGTGCCCTGGGCTGGCAGATGGCCATCTCTGTCTCCATGTGGTAGAGAGAGCAGCCAGATTAGAAAAGTCAAACTATGAAGTCAGGAACCCCATCATGATGGCCCCGTGCCATGACCTTATTTAAACCTGAGTGTCTTGTACAGGCCCCATCTCCATTGCCGTCACAGTAGGCCTCAGTGTGTAAATGTACAGTGTAGTGCATAGCACGCTAGTAGATAATTTGCTTTGTTCCTTATTCTAAATATTTAAGAGAATGTACAATTAAAACTTGGTCATTCTTCAGAGAGAATTTTCTTTAGTAAAAACTATTGAAAATAATAGGTTATTTTAGCTTTCTTTTTTTTTTTTTAGATATATTTTTATTGCAAAGTCAGTTATACAGAGAGGAGGAGAGACAGAGAGGAAGATCTTGCTACCGATGATTCAATCCCTAAGTGAGCCCTACAGCCAGTGCTGAGCCAATCCGAAGCCAGGAGCCAGGAACTTCTTCAGGTCTCCCACACAGGTGCAGGGTCCCAAGGCTTTGGGCCGTCCTTGACTGTTTTCCCAGACCACAAGCAGGGAGCTGGATGGGAAGTGGGGCTGCCGGGATTAGAACTGGCACCCATATGGAATCCCGGCGCGTTCAGGGTGAGGACTTTAGCCACTAGGCTACTGCGTTGGGTCCTTAGCTTTCTAATTATATAAAGGTACAAGTTTTTTTAAAGTTATATGCCAAAAAAAATTATAACCTAGAAAACCATTTTCTAAACAGTGTATTAGATGTATTCGAATGTGGCAATGGTTTGAAGTTTCTTGACAAACAGCAGATAGAATTTAGATAGTGTTTGTGAATATAAATGTAAACTGTAAAGTTTGAGATTTTCTTAGCTGACTGGATTTACCTGTCCTGTGTTTCTGTGTTATGTGTGCAGTTTAGCCAGGTGTGGAAATAGCAGCAGATAACAAGCTTGACATAACAAGGGGACATGTGAGAAGATGACTGATTTATAGCATCGTTTTGGATGCCTCTGTTGAAAATATCCTTCTTGGAGTAGCGTTGTGGTGCAGTGCGTTAAGCCACTGCCCGTATTGATACCTAGCCGAGCATACTGCGTGAGTTCTGTTTGTAATCCTAGCTCCTCACTTCAACCTGCTCCCCTGCTGTTGGGCCTGTAAGGCGATGGAAAATGGCTGTTGCGTCCACATGGCAGGCATCGATGGGGTTTTAGTCACCTGGCTTTTGCTGGGCCCACTTCTGGTCATTTGGGGAGAAAACCAGTAAATAAAAGATATCCATGTCTCTTTTCCTCTGTTAATTTCCTTTCAAGTAAAACAAATCTTAAATATTGCACAGCATCTAAATCACAGTGTTTTTCATTTTCAAGGGATTTCACATCTCTTGGCCTTTCAAAATTTTGTGTATGATAGTTTTCAGGATTGTTGCCAGTTTCTTTAATGTATGTGTTTGCTTTCCTTTTTAATTTTTTTTTAAAGATTTATTTTTGTTGGAAAATCAGGTATACAGAGAGGAGGAGAGTCAGAGAGGAAGATCTCCCATCTACTAGTTTACTCCCTAAGTGGCCACAACGGCCAGAGCTGAGCCAATCTGAAACCAGGAGTCCGGAGAGTCTTCCAGGTCTCCCACGCGGGTGCAAGGTCCCAAGATTTGGGGCCGTCCTCAACTGCTTTCCCAGGCCACCAGCAGGGAGCTGTTTGGGAAGCCAGGCCACAAGGACAGGAACTGGTGTCCATATGAGATCCTAGCACGTGCAAGGTGAGGACTTTAGTCACTAGGCTACCGCACTGGGCGCTCCTGTTGTATTTGTTTTAAAATATGGCAGATTTTCATTTGTAGGAATTTTTATGTTACATGGCAAATATGTATGCTACAGGTAACTGATCCTCTTAGCAGTAAGGAATATTTAGTAATCCTCTCTTGTGCCTTGTATCTTTGGGGAATATATTCCAAGACCACTAGTAGATACCCGTCTTTGATAGCGATGATCACTATTTATACTAATTGTGTATGTGTGTGTGTGTGTGTGTGTGTGTTTATTTGAAAGGCAGAGTTGAGCTTTGAGAGAGAGAGAGAGATGCTCCAGTGGCTGGGTCACTGCAACAGCTAGGCTTACACCAAGCTGAGCCCAGTGTGGGTCCCCCAGGTGGGTGCTTGAGACCCAAGCAGCTGAGCCATCACCTGCTTGCTTCCCAGGGATACAGGTTAGCAGGAAGCTGGATTGGAAGCAGCGTAACCAGGACTCCAGTCAGGCAACTGGTATAGATGTTAGAGTGCGTTCATCCCAGGTAGTGAACGTGGTTACTGTCACTATGCCTGCCTGCGTCCTGTTATTATTGTTGTTGTTGTTGTTTTACTTCAGTATTTTGAAAAGTAGAGCTAGAGAGAAAAGGATCTCCCTCTGCTGGTTCACTTCCCCAGTGTGCACTGGAGCTCTGGGGGGCTGAGCCGTTGTTGCTGCCCCGCTAGAGTGTGATTTAGTGGGAAACTGGGATCAGCAACAGAACTGGACCTCACACTCTGGGACTGACATGGGATGCAGGGATCCACCAAATGTCCACTCCCATAGCATGTTCTTTCTTATTCATACACATAGTGTTGCTAAAGTTTGATTTTAAAATTAGGTGTATTAACCCTGAGGCCATGAAACTGTATCATGAAAAATGAAAAAAATTTAAAAAGGCATTAACAATAAAAATACATAAAAATAAAAAATAGATATTAACAATAATAAAACAGACCAATAAAGTTTCATGAAGATAGTCTCCTTCAGAATATTTTACTTACCCTGTTGACTGTGGGTAAACTAAAATCTTGGAAAGTGAAAACACAGATAAGGAGTACCTGTTGTAAATGAGTTCTCTGTAATGTGATGATTTTGAAGTTTTTTTAAAAAAAATCCTGGGCTGAGCTTGCAGTGAAGCAGTTAAAATGTTCTTATTGCACGTCCTAGTGCCTGGCTCGGATTCCGGCCTCCAGCTTCCTGCTTCGTGCACATCCTGGATGGTGGCAGTGGTGGCCCAAGTCATTGGGTTCCTGCTACCCACGCAGGGGTCCTGGGTTCAATTCTTGTCCTTTGCCTTTAGACCCTCCCCCATTGCAGGCATGTTGGGAGTAGATCAGTGAATAGGAGCTTTATCTGTCTCTTGCTTGGTATCTCTCCCCATTTCTTATTTGTAAAGATACAAATAATGGGCCGCATTTTCGCATTGCCAGTTAAGCTGTTGCCTGGGAACAACGGTGTCCCATTTGGGTATCCTTTTGAATCCTGGCTGCTCCACTTCTGATCAGGTTTCCTGCCAAGGCAGCTGAAAATCCGCAGAAGATGGCCTAAATCCTTAGGCTACAGCACCTCTCTGGGAGTCCCAGCCGAAGTGCCTAGCTTCTGGCTTTGGTCTGGTCCAGCCATGGCTGTGGTGGCCATTTGCAAAGTGAACCAGAGAATGGAAGATCTCTCTTCTGTTTTAACTCTGCCTGTCAAATAAATAAATAAATCTTTAGAAATAAAAGATACAGATAAAAGTCAGTGAAACAACATGTATGACCAGCTTTGGAGTATTTTTTTTTTTAAGATTTATTTATTTATTGGAAAGTCAGATATACAGAGAGGAGGAGAGACAGAGAGGAAGGTCTTCCGTCCGATGATTCACTCCCCAAGTGAGTGCAACGGCCGATGCTATGCCGATCCAAAGCCAGGATCCAGGAACTTCCTCCGGGTATCCCACACGGGTGCAGGGTCCCAAGGTTTTGGGCCATCCTCGACTGCTTTCCCAGGCCACAAGCAGGGAGCTGGATGGGAAGTGGAGCTGCCGGGACCAGAACCAGCGCCCAAATGGAATCCCAGGCATTCAAGGTGAGGACTTTAGCCGCTAGGCCACGCTGCCGGGCCCAGCTTTGGAGTATTTTTGTGGCAACTTTTTTCTTTCTTTTTTTAAGTAGGCATGTGTACCATCTTCTGCTGCTTTCCTAGGCACATTAAGCAGTGAGGCAGTGACTGAGTGGCTAAATCCTTACCTTGCATGTTCCAGGATTCCAAACGGGGTCTGGTTCTTGTCCCAGCTGCTCCACTTCTAATCCAGCTTCCTGATTGTGGCCTGGGAGTGCAGTGTGGGAAACCTGAAAGAAGCTTCTGGCTCCTTATTTTGGATCAGTTCAGCTCTGCCTGTTGCAGCCACTTGGGGAGTAAACCAAGGGACGAAAGATATTTCTGTCTCTCCTTCTCTCTTTCAGACTGGCTTTCTAATAAAAATAAAAAGTCTTAAAAAGAAAGAAGAAAAGAAATAGAGCAATCAGGACTAGACTGACGCCCATGTGCCATGCTGGCACTGCAAGTGGTACATTTACTCACTGTGCCACAGTGCTGACTCCACAGCTTTTGTCTTACTTGTGAAACAACCACCACCCAACTACACTTGACAAAACAATTTATCTATTTATTTATTTATTTATTTGAAAGAGTTACAGAGAGGAACAGACATCTCCATCCACTACTTCACTCCCCAAATGGCTTCAGCAGCCAGGGCTGGACTAGCCTGAACCAAGAGCCAGAAACTTGTGGTTCTCCCACCTGAATGTTAGGGGCCCAGACACTTGAGTCATCTTCCAGTACTTTCCCAGTCATGTTAGGACTTGAAGCATATTCGGCCTGCAACTACACTTTTCCAGGAATGAATTGGTATAGATAAACCATTAGTAAACTCGATTTGAATATTTTTTCCCATTTTAAAATCCTGAAAGTGAAGGGTCAGTATTTCCATTACTGTTATCTTTGATATTATCAGTTGAAATTTAAAGGAAGTTTAGGGTGTTTGTTAAAAATGTGAAGTTTCTTATTTAAAATGTGTACTCTAAAATATGAAGTATACCAAATTAGCCTGTGGTGCTAATGACCAATTCTAATCTAGCATATTTTCTAAACTAAGAAACTGGAGCATAAAGTTTGACTTTGTTGGCTGAGGGCAGGAGCTGGGATGGTGGGGGATGGGACTCTCCACTTTGAATTATCTCAGGCATGTCATAAAACACTGCCATTAAAGGGTGGAAATCAAACTATGAATTAGTGTTTGTGACTCCCAAAGCCAAATGTGCATTTCTCACATAACTGCCCTATTCTGTGTTGAGAGGGATTTCTTGTGTAAAAGAGATCTGAATTCAATTTTATTGATCTCTAGTAGCTGGGAGAAAATGCTTGCTGATTAGCAAAAAGCTGGTGAATGAGAGAACATGCTTCTGTGGTTTTTTTTCGGATAGCATTAATTTTAAAACAATTTACTGTGGATGTCCTTAATGAGCTGTGTAAAGGAAATGAGTCAGTACCTTTGAACTTGAGACATATGAAGATGTGAAATTTCAAAAAATGACATATCTATTTCTGGCTGTTTTTTCCGCTGCTAGAAAAAATGTACATTTTTCATCACGTGTTAAAGGGATTTCACTCATCACAGTCTTAATAAAGGATGTTGTTACACATACCTGGAGTTTGATTATTGTTTTAAGATTCACTGTTAACGTTCTTTAAGTATAATTTAGTCATCCTTTGTTCAGTATTTTAGGCAAGGAAAAAATCATGCCAAAAATTTCAGTTTAACTTAATTAAATAAATATATTATAGATTATGAAACATTCTGCACATACATGGAGGGAAAGCTTTTATAACAACACTTTTAACACATCAAAAACTAGCAAATAGAATTTATCTTACAAAGGGAAATATAATTTTCTAATTATTACTATTCTGAAAATGCTTTTTGTTGATTAATTCCTGAATTTTGGTCAATGTGTCTTGATTCAAAGAATTATTCATCTTATTATTATTAGTGAAACAGTTGTGAGAAAAATATACACAATGTTTTCCAGTGATTTTTTTTTTTCAATAAAATTTGACTAAGGAAATATGTATAGGGTTAAGTACAGAAGGAAGCCATAAATGCTTTGTAGATTGGGAAACAATTATGAAGGACATTTGTCCACAGTCCTTCCTGGAGTTGAGAGTTTAGGGTCCCTGTATAACTGCTGCATTCTCTCTTGTTTATACTTCGGCCGCTCAGAGTGGTTGCTGTAAACTGTTGTTTTTTGTTGGTGGTCATTGGCATTTTTCCTTCTCATCCGAGAACCTTAAGCTATTTTTAGTTCTTCCCGCTCTGTTAGCAGCAGATAGTCTGGGCCTGAGCCTTGTTTTTCCTAATTTGGAAGCATATGGCAGATCTATCTTTTCTTCATTTTTGCTCTCACTAGAGCCATTGGGCACTTACAGTCCTATGCTGGGATTACTTTCTGACTTCTTAGTAGGCACTCTTCCATTTCATTAACAACTGCTATGAAAATAACATTTTAGAAGATGCTACCTATAACCCTTGCTGCACTTCTGCTCTGATTCTGATGATGTTCTGGTTCTTTATTGGTTGTGGAAGGCACCTGGGGCCCTGGCAGTAGGGAAGCTCCTGGTAGGAATCCCCAGCAGTAAGGAAGTCACCAGGGCTGTAAAAGCCCCTAGTCTAGTCAGTGACAGTCTGTGTCAGATCTCTGCAGATTGTGATCTGTTGCTGCCAAAGTCGGCTTTCTTGCCGTGTGCTCACCCACTGCTCTCTTGCAGTGTGTTTTAATAAATCGAACTCTGCTCATTCCTTACTGTGTTCTGCTGGCGAATTCCTTTTTCACCTGCAATTCTGTCTTCAGCCTAGCTTCCTGTGACGTTGGTCATTCACATCTGCACATATTTATCATGCATTTTCTGTTATGACATTGACACAGTGTGGTATTTCTGGTATTGTTAAGCTCTTAGGATAAGGTGAACATGAACATTAAATGATGTCCATCTCAAATAATTGAAGTAAAGAGGTATTTTTTTCCACCTTTTTAAGAAGTTTTTTTTTAAAGGTGAGGTGATTTACGGGTACACAGGGCCTGTGGTGGAGGGGTAGAGGATTGTGAGGGGAAGGATGTAAGAGGGGGAAATGTTTCTGCCTTCCATTCTGTGTTCATGAGAGATCATACCTCCGTGTTACCAGTCTTACGATCTTGGGAAGGCGAGTGGTTTCATGACTCCGCCCCAGGGCCAGGTGAGGGGAAGTATGGCTTCTTTGCAACCTGTGCGCTAAGGCCAGACCACATATCCTTGTGTTCCGGTCCCAGAAGTTGGAGATCCTAACATGTCTGAGGCTGTTTTGACATGAGAGGGTGTGCTGCTTGCTGACACCAAAAGCCACTATGGGCCTCTCCCAACAGTGGATGCTGTGGTCTGGCCCGGTGCGTGCTGGTGGATGCTGCAGTCTGATCTGGGGAAGCCTGTGGTGCTGGCTCTATTGGTACTCTGGTTTACTCCCACTGCAGTTCTTGCATGTAGCATGGCTGCAGTGGCCTGGTCTAGGAAGATCCTCTAGTTCCCCCTGCCCAGCCGTATGCATGCCGACAGGTGCAGCAACCTGGCTTAGAAAGGAGTAAGAGTTTTTACAACGTTTATTTGCAAGAACAGCAGAGTCATAGATGCATGCAGAAAGGGGGAGGGAGGGAGAGTTTGAATGAATTCTGTCTGATTCATGCCCCTAAATGGTCATAACAGCCAGATGTGGGCCAGACTGAAATTAAGAGCCAGGAACTGTTTTGGGGTGACTCATTTGGGTGGCAAGAGCCAACATATTTGGGCCATTTTCTCTTGCCTTCCCAAGCATATTAGCAAGAAGTTGGATTGGAAATGTAGTAGCTAGGACTCGAACTGGCATTTCCCTATGGGATGTTGTTGTGTTTAGTCGTGGCTTAACCCACTTCCACAACACTAGCAGCTAGAAGTGATGTTATTTAAAAAGTTGTGATTCCTACTTTAAATAGTTTATCTTTCATTCAGAGATGTTACATAAACACAGAAATGTAATAGTAAAAAGGTAGTAATATAATTTTTGTATTTTTTTACAGGTTCCTGTTGCATGTAAATCATGTCCCTGTGGTTACATATTTATTAGCAGAAAACTTTTAAATGCAAAACATTCAGAGAAATCCCCACCTTCTACAGGTAATGGTCAAAGTTTAACACATTTTAAGCTTTTTGATGTAGACATTCAAAGTAACTTTTTTACTCTTTACATTTTTGGTTGATGTTAAAAATTAACATGTACTGAGTGTCTTTTGTTTTTATTAACTTGTGAATTAGCTTATGAATTGGTTTTGTGTTTATTCCATTTAAATGTTAACTACTTCAGAATAATGGTTAAGTTTCTAAAGAGTGGTGAATCATTGAAGGTCTTGTACAAGACTTGATGTAATTTACAAATACTTCTTAACAATAGCTTAAGTAATAATTGACATTTTGCAAGATATGTTTAAAGTATAGAGTTTGATAGAGTTTTGGTATTTGTACACACCAGTCACCACAAGCAGTTTTATGGACGTTTATCACTCCCAAAACTTTTCTAGTTCCTTTCCTGATTCCTTCCCGCTATCCCCATCCCACGAGCCACTGATCTTTCTGTCACTTTTCATATAAATAGAATCATAGAGTGTATGCACTTCTCTGTTTACTTTCTTACTGGACATAGTTATTTTAGATGGATCCTTGCTTTTGTGTGAATCAGTGAGTCTAGTTCGTTTTATTGCTTATTGGTGTTTTTTGAGTATGTATGTCCCGTTTGTTTATCCATTTACCTGTTGCTCGACATTTTTGTAAAAGATCTATTTATTTGAAAGTTAGAGTTACAAAAAGAGAGTGAGAGGCTGGGCAGAGATCTTTCATTTGCTGGTTCACTCCCCAAATGACCACAATGGCCAGAGTTTGGCTGTGCTGAAAGCAGGAACTTCATTCAAGTCTCCCCTGTGGATTGCAGGGATCTAAACCCCTGACTCGTCCTCTGTTGCTCTGCTCAGGCCGTTGGCAGGGAGCTGGACTGGAAGTGGAGCAGTCAGTCATACGGGATGCCGGCATTGTAGGAGGCAATGCCAAATCCATTGATGGGCATTTGAGTTTCTTCTTTCACACTGCTAGCAAAACTTGCAAATCTGCATGTATTGTTTTGTTTGTGTGTGTATGTATAAACTGATGCCAATGAAAAAATATAACTTGGTTTAATATGAATATAATTTTTAATGTATTGGTTATTTTTTATAATTTTTGAAGAATCTTTAAAAAATCATTTTGCTTGAATTTGTTGATTTCCTATTAATGTAGACAAATTGAATCTATTTAATAGCTACATTTATTCTAAGAAAAAGTTATGACGCAGGCAGCAGTCGTGACAATGTTCCTGCATTGATCTAGGAACAGGCTGGCCAGGGCTGTTCCTGCATTGATCTAGGAACAGGCTGGCCAGGGCCTCACGGGTCCTAGGCAAGCTGTACTTGCTGCATGCCTCAATGCTAGAGCAGATGCCCAAGGCTGGGGTCCTGGGTGCCCCACACCAGTGGTATGCCACCACACCAATCTGCAAGCAGCATGTCGGGCCACACTTTATCTGCTTTAGGCAGGTTTCACCCATGGCACACCACTGTGCTTTGCCAGGTGCTAGAGGCTGGGGTCTTATGGGGTGGGGGTCACTAATGGCCTTTGGTATTGCCAAAAAACCAGGGTCGTCTCACACTCTCTGATACTAAAATATATAAAACTTTGCTCAGCCTCAGCATTTTTCTATTTGATATTTCCATCTGTCAAGAATATTAGTCCCTATCATCTTGACATTTCTCATTCCTCCTGTCAATTCAGGCTCACCTGTTCAAAGAAGCCATTTCTAATCATAAAAAGTAGTCTCTTACACGCAGGCTCAGGAAGGCAGGACTGTTTTAATTCCTGCAAGGCGTGTGTCATCAGGCAGGACTTTCTGTTTACCTGTCATTCCTTACTTGAGCTGTACCCTTGTAGTATGCAGGTGTTGCAGAAGGCAGCTGAACCTGCTACACCATAAGGTTATCTCCGTAAGTTTTCCTTTTTTCTTTTTGTAAAGTTTATTTGAAAGGTGAGGAAGTCATAGACACACATTCAGGGTCAGAGTGGGCCGAAGGGGAAAGATGGGAGAGTGAGGTTTCCGCATTCATCTTGTGTCCCTGTGGAGAGAGAGTGTGCCCCTTCTTGTTGCCCGCGTTCTTATGAGCCTGGGAAGGAGAGTGGTTACATGCTATCACCTCCAGTCGCAGGTGAGGGGGAGTACATTCTGGGGAAGAGGTTATATCATTGACAAGTAAGCAGACCAATATATAGGGAGAGGAATTGTATGGCTTCTAGTTCATGAGCGTAAGCTTGCTACCTGCCTGTCCCTTTTCAGCTTCTCATCAGAGATTTCCAATTTCTGTTCTTGAGTTGCTGAAAGATGCAGATTCAGCTCATCTTCTGTAGCTCCTTCCTACTGATCAGGGGCTTAGACCCTGCACATCCCAGGTTCAGAAATCTCTCCTTGTCTCATCCAGTGAATCCATCTCAGAACCCATAGAAAGTGAGGCTGGTGCAAGTGGCTATGTCCTTTGCATCATCATCACCACCACTCCCAGAAATCGCCAGCCTTTTTCTGTCCTTTGATGCATGCAGCATCCAAGGGCCTTTCCTGGTTCTCAGGATTTGGCCAGCCTATCATTTGTGTGTACCTAGGCCTGCTTTCTCCCCTACACAGGAGTCAACTTAGGAGGTGGCACAACATGTACCATGATTTCTGATGCCAAGACACACACCCTGGTCTTTGGTACCTGAGGCTGGAGATCCTGTCGCATCTGGGATCAATTAGACATGGAAGCCTGGGGTTTCTTGGCAATACCAAAGGCCATACGTAGAACTCTCCTATTCCAGGACCTCGACTCGGGCCCCTAGCCTGAGCAAGGTTGAGGTCCCCTAGTACCCATCAGGCCTGCTGAAAGGCCATCAGTGGGCCCCTTAATACAGAGAAAGCAATGACTGTATTTCCTTTGCTTTTTGAAGAGGTGTTTGAGGTCTTTGGCTGATTTGCTAGAGTAGGCAGGTTTATCTTTTGTGCATGCCTGGTCCTACATGGTGCAGCTGCAGCCCCTACTGAGCCAGCAGCCATCTTTGCTTGTATGTCCCCAGCCTCAGGCCTCTCGTAGGGTGCTGGTGGCCCGTGAGGCATAGCTCCAGCCCCGACCCCCTCCAGGCCCATTTGTGCAACCCTCTTGGGTATGTGATTCTGGCATCAGGTCCAACTTGTGTGGCAGGACTCCAGCCCTAGGTCCTCTCTGCCAAGCTGATGACCATCTAAAGCCATGTGGCGCCAGCCTCAGGCCCCCTCCAAAGACTCTGGCCTGCGCGATGTGACTCAGACTCTAGGCTGTCTCCCAGGCTCTTCCAAGGAAGGGTAGAGAAGAGGGTGAGAGCAGGGAGGGAAGAGGGATGAGAAAGGAGAGGAGGAAGGGGAGGAAAAAGGGAGGAAATGAAGAAGCTTTAGTTTTTATTTTCATTTGAGAGTAATTTGCAGTTATTTTCTGCCCTTCCCTGTGTTGCTTTTCCATTCTGTTCATAGAGTGCTAGGATGCACAAAAGCTTGTATGTTCACAAAAGCTTGTTTTGTTGCTAAATTTCCTGGTGTCCTACCCAAGAAATGATTGCCAAATCTAGTGGCATGAAGCTCCCCTGTCTTTTATTTTTTTTTAAAAAGATTTATTTATTTATTGGAAAGTCAGATATACAGAGAAGAGGAGAGACAGAGAGGAAGATCTTCCGTCCGATGATTCACTCCCCAAGTGAGCGCAACGGCCGATGCTATGCCGATCTGAAGCCAGGAGCCAGGAACTTCTTCCGGGTCTCCCATGCGGGTGCAGAGTCCCAAAGCCTTGGGCCGTCCTCGACTGCTTTCCCAGGCCACAAGCAGGGAGCTGGATGGGAAGTGGAGCTGCCGGGATTAGAACCAGTGCCCATATGGGATCCTGGCGCGTTCAAGGCGAGGACCTTAGCTGCTAGGCTAAGTGCTAGGTGCTGGACCCTCCCCTGTCTTTTCAAAGAGTATTTATAAATCTAACATATAAAATTAGTTCTTTAATCCTTTTCTTTTGAAGTTTTGAATTTTAACATTTTAAAATTTTTGATTAGTCCTTTAATTTGATAATAATCTTAATTTGATTCTTAATTTAGCTTGATATCTTATTTGACATTAATCCCTTTCTTTTAACCTTTTGAGTTTAACAACTTTTTATTTGAATGTTTAATTTAAACCTAGCATCACTAGATTGGAAGTGGAGTAATTGGAACTTGAAATGGTACTAAATAGCAGCATAATTCACTGTGCACAGTGCCAACTCCAGAGACTATTTATTTATTTATTTATTTATTTATTTTATATGGAAAGTTAGATATACAGAGGAGAGGAAGATCTTCCAGTTGTTGATATACTCCCCAAGCACCCACAATGGCCGGTGGTGAGCCAATCCAAAGCTAGGAGCCTGGAGCATCTTCCGGGTCTCCCACACAGGTGAAAGGTCCCAAGGCTTTGGGCCATCCTCAACTGCTTTCCCAGCCACAAACAGGGAGCTGGATGGGAAGCCAGGCCACCACGACATGAACCGATGCCCATATGGGATTCCAGCACATGCAAGGCGAGGACTTTAACCACTAGGCTATTGCGCTGGGCTCCAAAGAATCTCATTGTTAATTATGTAGTCTCCTTTCAGATCTCTCTGAAGGTGTACATTAGCGTTTTGTTTGTTTCCTGGACAGCTTTTGTTTGTATTTTAGCCTGGACCCTATTTCTTGTACTTTTGTTGCTATTACCAGAGTTTGCTGGTAGCTGAATTTAAAATGGAGGAGCCTGAACTCGAACCAGGGACTCCGATTTGGGATTTGTGTGTCCCAGAGGAAGACTTCACTGCTGTGCTACATGCTCATCCTGCTTTCACGTTTCCTCTATTTTGATTTCTTAATCTGAACCAATAGCTTTCAGTTACTGAAATTGGTGCTTTTTTGATCATTAATAAGTACCTTTTCCTTGTTTCCAACACTAAATTTATTTTTCTGTTTCAATTATCCCCTTTCCCATGATTCTTCTCATTTCAGTGAGATTTGGGGTATTAAACTAACACATGTGCTCAGTCTGTTTTTATTCATTTGCCAACTGTACCTAAGTGTTCTGATTTCTGAAATGATACAGCCATGATTTTTATAGAACTTATAATTCCATAGTGGAAACATATTTGGCCTATAAGTAAATACCAGATTGTAGTAGTACTAGACTACAGGAAGTAATTTGGATCAAGAGTGACCTATAAACTGATAGCTCAAGGAAAAAGACCATCAAAGGAAGAATCTTGGGAGAAGAACTGTTGACAGAAGGTTAGCAGATGGAGGGACTTATTTTACTAAGAAGCATCGTGTCTGGAATAGAGAGAACAGGGTAGAGGGCCATGTGAATAAAAAAGCGTTGGAGTGAGAAGCAAACGTCAGATCTTAACGGGGATTTGTACTGTTTGCTAAGAAATGTGGTAAACTGCTCTCTGCAGATGCCGGCGTCCCGTGTTGCAGTGCTGGTTCGACTGCTGGCAGGGGCTCTGTGCCCCTGCCACGTGTCGGGGGGACCAGGATGAAAAACTCAGCCCTTAATGGAGAGTGAACCAGCAGAAGGAAAATCAGTCTCTCTTGTTCCCTCTGTCTCTGTCACTCTGCTTTTCAAATAAACTAGGAGAAAAGCCAATGAAAACGAAGCAAATGAAGGGCCTTCTGAAGAGAAACTACACAATTTGCTTTAAATTGTCCAATGTTTATTTGCAAGGCAGCGAAAGAGTTTGAGAGATGCTTCTGTTTACTGATTCAGTCACCCTCCTTACCCCAGTGGCCGTGGCTGGACTAGGCTGAAGCCAGGAGCCAGAACCTCAGTCCAGCTGCCTTTAACCACATCCTGGGTGGCAGCAGTGGATAGCTTAAGTGTGGAGGTCCTGCCACGCGCGCTGGAGATCTAGACTGAGTCAGAATCCCTGCCAAAGACTACAAATGGACTAAATCACAATATTGGTTAAGTTCTTCTATTACTGTTCCATTTATAGAACAACATGCTCTTAATGTCACAGATTAGCTCATCTGGAGCTAGTGCGAAAACTCACTTCCCTAAGTGTTTGATTATTTTTAGTGGAAGCTATTTAATATTATTGTAACCTTAATATATATGGCTAAGCTCATTTTGCTTCTGAGTATTTGGAGTATTTCAGTTTGTAATACAGATAGGAAACAAAAAAAGAATGAAAAAAATGTTTTTTTCCTAATTCTCTGGAAACAGAGAGGAGGAAAAGGCAGAAAGGTGTTTGTGGATTATTGGGATTTACAAGGCCTAAATTTAAAGCTCCCAAATAAAGAAACTTAATTTTCTCTTCCGAGATTCCTCCTGCCTGACATGGTATGTAGATCTGAATTCTACTGAAATTCTTGTTTTGCAGTATGGGCGTGGGGGACATTCGTGTTTATGGTTCTAGTTTTGTGAAGTGTGTTGGGCACTACAGTGATGCTTAGAAAGTGCAAAGAAGTCTGTGAGTGGGCAAATGGTTCTTGCTTAGCCCTAAAATATATCACTTTTATTCATCCATACAGAAAACAAGCATGAGGCCAAGAGGAGGCGAACAGAGAGAGTTAGGAGAGAGAAGATAAATTCTACAGTAAATAAAGATTTAGAAAACAGAAAGCGGTCTCGAAGTAACAGCCATTCAGATCATATCAGACGAGGAAGAGGAAGACCAAAAAGTTCTTCTGCCAAAAAACACGAGGAAGAAAGAGGTATGAATAAATCCAAGTATGAATAAATTCAAGCTGCTTTTTTCCCCAAGAATCAAATTGACCTGAAATCATAATTAGGTAGTATGGAGTCATTGAGCCCCACACAATTCATATTTCAGTTTGAAAGTGTGTCCTCTGTGGTAGATGCTTATCTAAAAAAAAAAAAAAAAAAACCACCAGGAATGCAATTCTTGTTTGAAACCTAAAAGCTTAAATTAGGTAAAATAATAAGTTATATGTGACATCCTCAATTGGAAAGCCTACTAAAATGATTGTATTTTTAAAAAAATATATGTCTGAACCCTATTATGACATGTTAAGCTTACACAGGAGTTTTAGAAATATGCTATTTAAAATGTTTTTCTTACAACTTTTAATTTTGTTTCGTGCTTGGAGAGGCACAGAAAGGCAGAGGTTTCCCATTCACTGGCTCACTCCTGGGATAACCGAAGTAGCCCATGGGGGAGCATGGAACTGAATCCAGGTCTCCATGTCTGTAACAGGGACCTGAGTACTCAGCCATCCTTCCATCCAGGGTGCACAGAGGCAGCAGCCTGGAGTTGGGAGGGAGCTGGGACTCAACGCAGGCACTCTGCTGAGGGCTGTCACGGTCCCTGTGATGTCCTGACTGCTAGGCCATCACCTGTCCCAGGAGGAATTGTTATGTTCATCAAAGGGAGATTTGTGTGCTCCCTGTCTTGAGACCTTTTTTACACAGCTAAGTGAAGTTTTATTGAGCTGAATTATATTTGTTTCTACTTAAAAGTTCTTCTGATTGTTAGTATGCCTTACCAACGACTTTGTTTTAGACATTAACTGAAATTCAGCTCTTTTTCATTTATGCATCTGCTTAAAAACTTACTGTGGAAAATTTCACATATGTAACAGAAGTAGTGAACTTCTCTGTGCCTATGAATGTCTTTTTAATATTTTAACTTCACTTCTCTGTGCTCATGAGTATCATTTAAATGTTTTAACTTTCAAGACAAAATGATTTTATCTTCTATGAAATGCTTTTATATTTCGTTTACATTGTAAGTTATGCTTTGTTTTCTGAGGTATTTAGTTTTAGTATTCAAGTGCTTTCTGTGTAAATGTAAATGTCTGCTGTTTTAGACACTGAGAATGTTTACCTGTTTACCAATTCTCTATGTTTTTATGTGCTTTTAATGGAGTAAAGTTAGGTAAAATAACACAGTTTACCTTTACTTAGCTTTTATCCAACTTGAAAATGTCTTATATTGTGTTCATAAAGGAATAAGGTTCGTATTTCACTGTATTTTTCTGAAGGCTGTACTTAGGTACTGTTTAAATCCTCGGGCGATGTTATTTTTGTTTCCCCTCTTTATTAGACTTTTTATTTTTAGAGATTTTTGAGATTTTTGAGTTATTCGCTGAATTTGAATATGCTGCTTTAACAGTTGGATGATCAGAAAATCAATATTAAAGACTATTTTAGAAGCATATATTTTTTTTTAAGTTAATGGAAGAAGAGAAGTACTGCTTGGCTTGAAATCAGAACATTCTACGCAGTTGAAGTTAAGGTAATATGACCGAAAGAATAGAGAAGGAATGCTTCTAGTGGTAAGAGATGAGAAAACAGATAATGACAGTTTTTCAGTTTTAGGGAAAAGAAGTTTATATGCTTGTGTTGGAATATTATATATACAGTCTTGATCTTTATCACTGGAAAAAATAAGCGTTTTTTGACTCTATAAGAATTTTTCTGGTGTTTTTAGTTTACTATAGAAGGATTTTTAGAAATTGTTTCTACAGTAAGATATACTTTTGATTTGAGATGTTAGGAAGTTGTTCAATGCCAATCTTGTAGTATAAACTAAATTTTTTAAATGTATACCAGGTTTTCAGCAGACTTTTCCTGTAAAGAGCCACATGTTAGATATTTTAGCTTTGTGGTTGTGAGATCTGTCACAACAACTCAGCTTTGTCACTGTAGCTGGAAAGTAGCCAAAAGTAATGTATAATGAAACGGCATGGTTGTGTTCCATTTCAGCTCTATAAAAACTGCTGATGGGCTGTCATTTGCTAATTCTTAATATAGTAGACCATTGTTCTCCAAATACAGTATGGATAGAAATATAAACCTTTGAAATATGTATATTCAATCTTAAATAGTTACTAGTTTAATTTTGATTGATTGTCTGCTGTTAGGACATTTGAATAAGTTTTAGCTTCCTTAACACAGGAATTAAGGAAAACCTAACAGTGTGTATACAAAATAATCATTTTAATCCTTTTAATAATTGTTTTGTGTTTTGGAAAAGATCTGGAAGAATGGAAATCTCTCTCCAAATTTATTTTTTGAATTGGATAAGAGGAAAATAATCTTTGATTTAAAAAACATCAGGAATTGGCAGAGAAACCTACTAGGTCAGGAAGACTAGATAAAAATTTAAGATGATAAATACTGAGTTCTTCAGTTAGACTTTATATCTTTCAAGCAAAAAGAATCTGGAAATATCTTCTCTGGGGAATCTGAAAAGAAGAACTGACATAAAAATGCTTGCGTTAGTGATTTCATAGAAATGGCTTAGTCAGGTCGTTCTGATTGGTGACTCTAGTCATGCTCCACATATGTGTACATGCCTCTAAACAGCTTTTTTATCATGCCTAAATATGCACGTGTCACCAAGAATTACTAAGAAATCCGGAAGAAAGCACTTAATGTAAAAAGCTGAAACCAGCTGAATCAAGTTACTGAAGACAGTAACTTGAAAAAACAAAATTTTTGCTGAGAGAAGGAAATGATGAAAGCTATCAATATCTTTAGCAAAAGAAGATACTGTAGTCATGAAAAAAGAACAAAATGATACTTAAAAAGAAATTGTAGAGAACAAAAAGGACGTGAAAAATGAACTTTAATGAATTGGGCATTTAACCTAGTGGCTGAGAGACCTGTTTCCTGTTTCTAAGCCTTTGGGTTCCATTCTGGGGTAGCCTGCTGATGAGGATGCCAGGAGGCTGCAAGGTGGCCTTAATGGTAGAATTCCTGTCCCCCTGTGGGAGACCTACCTTTTGTTTCCTGGCCATTGCAGGCATGTCAGGAATGAAGCAGCAGATCGGAACTCTGTCAGGTATAGGCAACTTAAAGATAAAATTGAAAAAAAGGTTCCAGCAAGTATAATAGTAGAAAAAAAAAAAGAACAGAAAATATCAGAAATTTAGAAAGAAGACCAGTGTAAGGTCTAACATCTGTAAATATGTAAGATTTCCAAAAAAGAGCATGGAAGATGGAGAAAGAAGTCATGAATGAAATAATCTAACAGATTTTCCCAAACGTAAGGAATATATTTTCCATAGTAAAAGTCTACACAAAATTCCTAGCCCTATGGATGGTTAAAAATAGAAATTATGCCAAAGCATATAGAGGAAATTATTAAGTTTTCAGTTGAAAAATAATTCTAAAAAATTCAAGAAATAATTCAAACTAATATTGAAATACAGTGAATACTGCTCATCAAGGGGCAGACTACTGGTAACCAACATCAGTGCTTTTCAAAAATACTGGATAAAAGAGATACCATTTGGATTAAGTTGAATAGAGAAAATGAAGTTGTAGTAATAGAACAGGTAGTTAACTGGTAAGGGAATAGAGGGTTAGCTGGAAAAGGATGAATTTTCTGGAGTGACAAAAATTTTCTTGATCTTGTGTGGGTTACATGGGAATATATGTACATATGTCAAAACTTATCCAATTCAACTTTCTGTGCATTTCACTGTACATAATTTTAGCAGTGATTTGGACAATAAGTATTAAAAAGATACTAGTTTTTTTCAACAGTGGCACTGATAATCATAAGGCAATTTAATGCCTTTATGATTCTAAGGGAAACCTACATGTTTTTACTCAGCCAAATTATGAATTAATGAGAGACTAAACATTTTTTGTGATATTCAGGGTATCAGGAAATGTGCTATTCACACTCCCTTTTCCCAGGAAGCTTTTGCATGTTACATGGCACCAAAATGAAGCAGTATCCTGGACTCCAGGACCAGGAGGATCCAGCTTGAGAGAGAGGAGATTGTCCAGTGATGTTGAAGAAGGCGTCTAAGATGATAATTGGGCAGTAAGCCTAGCAAACAGCCATTCCAGATTGGAGCAAGTCAGAAGACTTGGAGAAATTTCTTCAAGAAGATGAAATTTATAAAATACCTAGTATGTGTAAAGATCCCAAAGGAAGATTTATAGAATTGGAACAGTTTGAGTTAGAAATGAAAACCAAGCAAATAAAGAAAATCACTTCAGGGGGAAGAAATGTGCAGGACAAGTGAGGTCACTCATATAATCGTTATAAACACTGAAAATTGATGTTACTGAAATTGTGATTTAAGAAGACAAAAGAATGAGCAGTATTTGTTTTGGAGCAAGAGCTGTCAAACAATAAAATCCTAATTTTCCATGATGGGAAGTGAGTAAGCCATGCCTAAAGCCAAAAGTGACATTCTATAGAACTGATTTGGAGATAGATTTGTTTTTGTGAAAACAAAAGGAACAACTAAAAAAAAAAAAGTGATTGTATTTGTAGAGTGGGAACTAGAGGGAAGGAACAGAATCATAGTAGATGCTAAAAAAGGAATTTGAAAGAATACATACCAGGATATTAATTGTGATTTTAGCTGGTTCACGGACGTATACTAGGTGCATCTTCTTTTCTTTTTTCCTTATTTTTCAAGTTTTTTACACTGAATATGGGTTGTATTTATAATGTGGAAGAAGAAAAAATAAAAATGAAATGTCGGTTATATTCATATAGTGAAGTTTAGATAGTGTTGATACAGTCATAAAATTATCACTGAGCATCTTTTAGGGTGAAAAATTCATTTTGATTAAGACTGAGAAGTCGCATACTAGGGAAGAGAAATGCCTAAAATTCTTTTGGGAATTGTATAGCTACCAGACTTTATAGGGTTGTGTATAAACTCCATTTAATTTTCATCTCACTGCCTCTTCTGTGTACTTTTAGAAACATTCTTAACAGCATAGTACTCTATAATTAAATGTTTTTACAATGTATGTGTAATATTTTCATGTAAGGAAACACTTGAAAGCTCAGTTTTTGAAAAGAAATACTACATCTACTGCTTTATGTCAAACTTTCCATTTTTCTTTTAACAGAGAAACAGGAAAAAGAAATTGACATCTATGCTAACCTCTCTGATGAGAAGGCTTTCGTGTTTTCAGTCGCCTTGGCAGAAATAAATAGGAAAATTATCAATCAAAGACTTATTCTCTGATACCTGTCTGCGAAATCTGTTGAAAGTTTCTTCAGGATTACATCAGCAAATTCTCAAACACTTAAGGACTCTCAGGAGCATTCTGACTGCATCTGTAAGGGTTACTGATTCTTCTTCCCTCTATCACTTAGCCAGTGCCACACTTTGGGAGCAAAGCTGTAAGCTTGGACTGTTTGGGGATTTCCTTGTTTACCAAGGAGCACTATCAGTGTTTTGTGTTTGGGATACAGTAAGTGTAGTGTGTTTATATATACGTGTGTGTGTGTGTGGGTGTCTGTGTGCTATATGCCATACACACAGACACCACATAAAGAAGCATAAGGTGGTTTGTGGAAGTATGAGACCTAGGGAAGCAAATGTTTAATAGTTTTCAGGTTTGCCACCAGAGATGCAATATTTTAAATACTGTCAGAAATGGTGACTTTAAATATATATATTTCAGATTTCCAGCACTAAATGGATGCCATATATACAGTTCATTTACTTTTACATTATATCGGCAATTGATATTTTATTGAATGGGAAATTAAGAATATAAACTGTAAATTTTGTCTTAACTTGATTTTTTTTCTGGCTTTTATTTTTGTGACTTATGGTGAGTTATATTTGAGGTTGTACTTTCTGGAACATTTGGAAGTTTGGGTGCTATATGAAGAAAAACATTTAAGAATATATAATATTTCGGATATAAAAACCTGTTTTCTTGAATGTAATTTATTTATTGGTTAAAACAACTTTTGTGCTCTCAAGATGGTGCCTGTTAACCTAAACATAAAATATATTTATTACGTGCAAAATGTTTCTTAGCTAGCCACTTTTAAGCGGTAATGTTTTACCTGAATGGATGTTCATTTATACATCCTGATAATTATTTAAATTGTTACTTAATCTCACTCTGAAAAAAAAATAAACCTTAATATTGGAACTAAGTAGATTAAGTAGTGTGGTGTAACCTTTTTGTTCTAATGAAGTTTGTGAAATATATTTGAATTTTTAATTTTTCTAGTGTTAAATGGTAACTGTTCATAGTTGACTTATACTAAATGCTTATGTAGTTGATATACCAGTTTAATGATTAACGTTCAGGTTTGAAAATAACCTCCTTTATTTTCAATTTCAGTTCCCCCCATCTTTCTTCACCCCTCTTTTTTTTTTAACATTTATTTATTTTAAAGGCAGAGTGATAGTGAGAGGATCTTCCATTCACGGGTTCACACTGGTTCCTCAGGAGTTCCAGCCAGGTCTCCTGCTCAGGTGGCAGGCGCTCCAGTACTTGAAGCACCATCTGCTGCTTCCCGTATGGACTAGCGGGGACCTAGATGAGAAGTGGTGCAGCCACGATCTGAATTGGCCCTGTGTGACACGCAGGCATCCCAAATGGCTTAACCCTCTGTACACACACACCACACGCTGAGGTACTCCTTTCTTACTATATATAAGGATGTCTTTAAAAAGTTTATGGAGAAATGGAATTAAAAGATAACTTGATGTTGTCCCAGTGTTTTGAACCTTGTGTGTAGTGTTTCATATGCATTTCCTCTGATCTTTCTGCAAACCTGTCATATTTGTGGGCCACAGTATGATACTTCAGTACATGTATGGAAAGTGTAATGGTCCAGTTAGGGTAGTCAACATCTCCATCGGCCCAGGCAGCTTTGGTTTGTATTGAGAGCATTCCAAGTCTTCACTCGCTTTTTTGAAATGCTCAGTTACCTGTCGGCTTCATCCTGTTTTGTATATCACTTGTCCTAAAGAAAAAGAAGTTGTTTTTTCCTCCTTTATGTGAGTATGGCATAGCCAGCAGAGGGAGCCTAAGAGACACTCCAGAAAGGACAAAGAATTCTCTTAAGAATGTATTTTCTCTTAACCCTCATATGTACCTGCAGGTACTACTGCAATTATCTTGTAATAATCTTTTGAAGAAAACTTTTGATTTTGAACCAGAAACTTTAAAATTGATTAATTCCTAAAAATTGCTTGTGAATATGCATATGGCAACGGAAAGCCAAAAACAGCTTGTGAAAAGTAGACTTACACAAGAGTATATCCATTAGGGCCTGGTGCAATAGCCTAGTGGCTAAAGTCCTTGCTGTGCACCGGTTCATGTCCTGACTGCTCCACTCTCCATCCAGCTCCCTGCTTGTGCCCTGGGAAAGCAAGAGAGGACGGCCCAAAGTCTTTGAATTCTGCATCCATGTGGGAGGCCCGGAAGAAACTCCTGACTTCAGATAGGCTCAGCTCTGGCCGTTATGGCCACTTGGGGAATGAACCAGTGGAAGGAAGATCTTTCTCTCTTTTCTTCTGTAAATCTGACATTTCCATAAAAACAAATCTTAAAAAAAGTATGTCCACTTAAAGCTGAAGACCATTAGAGGAAAGTTATGTTAAAATATGCATTATACAGTAAAAAAGAGAATACTCATGACTAGGCTGACATTTGCCATGTAGAAAAGTCATCGCTTTACTTTAGATGCTCATAATGTTGAATTGTTGCTTTATTGAACAATTTCTGGGGCCAGTGTTGTGGGCATGCTAGCCTTACCAGCATCCCGTATGGGTGCTGACTGCAAACCCAGGTGCCCTACCGCCACTCCAGCTCCCTGCCGAAGTGCCTCGGAAAGGAGCAGAAGCACCCATGGAGAGACCTTGGGAAGATCTGCCTTTGGTCTGGTCGTTGTAGCCCTGGAGGGAGTGAACCAGTACATAGAGGACTCTGTCTTACCTCTCTCTGCAACTCTGCTTTTCAAATAAATTAAAAAAAAAATTGTTTTAAAGAAATTGTTCGGTAATGGCAAGTTAGATTTCTCCTGTTTATAAAAAAATAATTCATCTAAATGGTTGCTGCAAATATTGGATTCTCTGGTAGGTATATTTGTGAATTATCATGCTATAAAGCTAAAAAATTAATTAGTGCAGGCACATGGTAATAGACTCATAAAAGATTTCTTTGTTGATAATGTTGAAGAAACCTCATTTGCTGGCAGATATCCTATGAGTGTAATTTTAGTTATTCAATTACTTAATCTAAAATTTGTTTTCATATCTGTAGTAATGTGATCCTGGAAAATTTTCTGAAAGTTACATGATTAGATTTGCCTTCCTGAAAATGTTCTGGTACTCTTAAATGCCATCAAGATTTTAAAAAGTAATTTGGAAATCCTTAGGCTAAATGATGCAGATTTGTCTGTTTACCCTCACACACTGCTGCTCAATAGTATTACAGAATGTTTCTAAGAAAACTTTGATGCTTGAGAGTTGATTTTATTCATTTGTTAGATTTTTAAAAATTACCTTTCTGAAATGATTTATTTTGAAAGAGTTAGAAGGAGGGACTAACAGAGGGGGATGTTCCATCCACTGGTTACTCTGCAAATGACCATAGCCATCAGGTCCGTGCCAGGCTGCAGCCAGGAGCCAGGAGCTTCACCTGGGTCTCCCATGCGGATGGCAGAGGCCTGAGTACCTGAGCCATCTTCCACTGCTCTCCCAGGCCATTAGCATGGAGCTGGATGGCAAGTGGAGCAGCCAGGGCTCAAACTGGCACCTCAGTGGGAAGACAGCATTGCAGGCAGCTGCATTATTTGCTATACTACAATCCTGGCTCCCTTATTTGTTAGTTTTAAACAGAACATTTGTTAACATTTTATGAACATAGACACTCATGTTTGAATATTAATGAAAAGGAAATGCCACAAGTTACTTCTTTTGTAGTATTTGGTGAAAATAATCGATTTGAGAAAGTTTCTGATGGAAAAATTTTTAAAAATTAGCCTTGGAAATGGGAGAGCTTTCTTTCTCTCAAAATTAATGTTAAAGAATTTAGCCAAAGTAAATTGAGTTTAAATTTCAGAAGTACTTAAAGTAACGGTTATTGTGGCATAACTCTCATTGCTTCATAAAAGTGTTTTTCTTGAGATAAAAAATTCATTGCTCCCAAATTTGCTATTTCTTGTTGTTTCTGAGAGAAGAGGAGAAACAAAGTGGGAAACCACTCACGACCTCCCACACGTCCCTGAGGAACTGCCAGCTCATGTCAACCCAGAGTCTCAATGTGTACACATTCCAGGGGTTCGGTCCACGTGGATAGTTCTGAATTGGCAGTATATTTAATTTTGGTGTAACTTTACAGTGTGTGTGTATTTAAAGTTGGAGAAATTAAATTTTTGCATTTTTAAAATATTTTCTACGTGAAAGAGCAACAGAGCAACTCTGCCTGCTTTTTCACTCCTACAAACTCTGTTGTGTTGTAAGTTTGCTTTTAATTCAGAATATTTTCCAATTTTCTTTGATGCTACTTTTTAAAAGATTTGTGGACCCAGCGTGATGATTCAGTGGCTAAATCCTTGTCTTGTATGTGCCAGGATACCATATGGGTGCCAGTTCATGTTCTGGCTGCTCCACTTCCCATACAGCTCCCTGCTTGTGGGCTGGGAACGCAGTTGAGAATGGCCCAGAGCCTTGAGACCATGCATCTGTGTGGGAGACCCAGAAGAAGCTTTGATCTTCTGGTTTCAGATGAGCTCAGCTTGAGCCATTGTAGCCATTTAGGAGTGAATCAGCGGAAAGAACACTTTTTTCTCTGCCTCTTCTGTGTAAATCTGCCTTTCCAATAAAAGTATAAAAATCTTTTAAAAAAAATAATTTCTCTCCATTGGTTCACTCCACTCCCCAAATGGACACTGCAGCAGCTGGGGTTGGCCATGCCAAAGCCAGGAGCCTGGAGTTCCATCCACAACTCCCAAACGGATGGCAGGAACCCAGACTTTGGACACATTTGCTGCTGCTTTCCCAGGCATATTCGTGGACAGCTGGATCAGAAGCGAAACAACTAGGAATTGAACCACAGTCTGATGTAAGAATTCCAGCTTCTATGCCATAATGCCAGCCTCCTAGTACTGCTATAATTTCCAAATATTTCCATGTTTTTCTAATTATTTTTCTATTGCTGAGTTTTTGGGAAAATCTCATTATGTTCAGAGAACATACATGTGATTTAAGTTCTTTCAAAATGATTAGGGTTTGTTAGGATCCAAGCTAGATAGTCCACCTTGCTGATTGTTCAGTGTACACTGCTGTTATAGAGCTGATCTGATGGGTAGTTCTGTTCATTTTCTTTTATTTGAGAATGTATTTTGCCTTAATTCATGAAAGAGATTTGTTGATAAAGTTCTGTGTTGACAGCTCTGTGTTTCACGACGTATGAAAATCTCCCTCTCTTCTAGCTTCCCTGATTTCTGATAAGAAATAATGCAGTCAAATAATTTTTCCCTATATGAAGCATTTTTCTTTGAATGTTTTTCCTTCAGTTTTAAAAAATTTGATTATGGTATGCTTGGAGTTTGTTGAACTTCTCAAGTTTGTCATGACTGGAGTTTGTTGAAATTCTCAAGTTCATGCCTTTCTCCATAAATGTTAAGTTTTTAACTGCTCACGTATTAAGAAAAAACTTGTAATACATTTATGATTTACCACAGTACAGTTTTGTAGGTATAGGGATTCCCCCCCTTTCCTCCCTCTCTGTTCACCCCACTCCCAGCCCCACTGTTATTTCCTGAATGATTACAGTAGTATAGTCCCATAGTAACCGTTACAAGATTAGCTTTCAGCTATTTAAATGTCTCATGACATGGTAGTTATTGGTAGAAGTGGGAAATCTAGTATCATGATGTACGGATATATTTACATTTCAAAATAGGAATCCCACTTTTATTTGGGAGAAGAGATGCATACTGTAATGTAACTTTACTTCCCAGAGTGCTTGTCTCCATTCATCTGAGAGAGTGTGTATATACACTTGATTACTTACATCTGTTTATTTTGTGAGTTGCCTAAAGGCTGTTTATGGCAGAGTCAACATATGATACTTGTGTTTTGGGGACTGGCTTATTTTTTTCTGCTCTGCTTTCCTGTCCATCTGAGAATTTAGTGCTGC